ATCATGTGAAGTTATACTTTGGCATCAGTTTCACAAATTAGGAAATCTTTTAGCAGCAGCATCAAACTGGGTAGGATGTCAAAGTGCACTCAGGTTGCTGATTGGTGGAGCTGGTCGGCAGTCATCTGCTGGGCGGAGCTCCAAGCTTTCTATCTGAAACGGGTTGTTGTATGATGACTTCATTCTCGTAATTTTATGACTTTATTCTTGTAATTTTATGACTTTATTGTTGTAATTTTACGACATTATACTCGTAATTTTACGACTTTATTGTCGTAATTTTTACATTATTCTCGTAATTTTTACGACATTATTCTCATTATTTTACGACTTTATTGTCATAATTTTACGACATTATTCTCGTAATTTTTACGACATTATTCTCGTAATTTTACGACTTTATTGTCCTAATTTCACGACATTGTTCTCGTAATTTTACGACGTTATTGTCGTAATTTTTACATTATTATCGTAATTTTTACGACATTATTCTCGTAATTTTACGACTTTATTGTCGTAATTTTTACATTATTCTCGTAATTTTTACGACATTATTCTCGTAATTTTACGACTTTATTGTCCTAATTTCACGACATTGTTCTCGTAATTTTACGACTTTATTGTCATAATTTTACGACATTATTCTCGTAATTTTTACAACATTATTCTCGTAATGTGACGTCTTTATTCTCTATAAAAAATTAAAAAAAAAAAAACAGAAAAATCTCTATCCTGGCCCTAATACTCCGTCGCATTCCAGCTGACTGGTTGGTAGGCGAGGAATGCAGCGGCCGTCTGATGGATCAGTTCTGATGCTCTCTGCTCTGACGGCCATCCGGGTCATTGTATTCACAGCCACCTTAGAAACAGTCGGTATCTCCTGCACTGTGTTTGGCTGTTAAGTGGTTTTAATGAAGCTTGGTCAGACTTTGACCGGACTGGGCGGCTCCTTCTAGAACACAGAATGATCCAACAGTATGGAGCCTGTATCGGTCCAATAATCTGCAGCAGATCCACAGCCTCAAATTCCCATTAAAGCCCCAAACACGACAATGAAACCATGCGACCGCCATTATGTTCTGCACATATTAAACTTGAATGAACAGACATAAACAAACCGGCTATTAGGATTTTATTTTTACCGAAGCTGTTAGCAGCTCCTGCTGCTAGCTAGTCGATCACGGCCGAAAAAACCCGAAAACATAGTTTAGAAATGAAACAATAACCATGTGTTTAGCTGGTTTAATATGCATCGTTAGATTATCATAAAAGTAAAATGGAAATATTTTTCCTTACCGCGAAGTTTTTCCCAGAAAGCTAACGGAACGGAGGCTATCCTGAAGAGTCGACCCTGACGGTTCGTGTGAAGGGCGGGGCTCTGTGGAGGAGGAGGCTTTCTTTGCAGTGACGTCATTCATGCAGCTGTACGAAAACTGTCGAAGCGTGACGGAAAAAGCCGAACGGAGGCAGAGGCTTTTAGGTTTTTTCGGGGTTCATTTGCCAAAACATACAGAAGAGGATTAGGGTCACCTTAAATAAATAAAAGAAAGTTACTGATTTTTAAATTTTGTTTCAGTATAATATGGGAAAAAAGTCAGAATTCTGAGATTAATCTAGGAATTCTGACTTTAATCTCAGTATTCTGAGTTTTTCCCATATTATACTGAAATAAAATTTGAAAATAATTCTCTTCCATTCACATCTCTTTCTTCACATCTCTTTCTTCATGGTCAGAATTCTGAGATTGATGTCAGAATTCTGACTTTTTTCCCTTATTATATAGAAAGAAATGTAAAACTCAGTTCACTTTTGTATTTTTTTTATTGGCCCTAATTCTCTTCCATAAAAACAAGCCGATGGTACTGTAAAAAGAAATATCCAAAAGAAAATGCATGATTTGCAATTCGCCTTTGATTATATGGTGTTATGGAACACCATTCCTTTATTTCCTAGAAGAATCTATGCCACACATCTAAGTTATAGGTGAATATAGCAGTCAGCCAATAGGAATCTAACAATAATTATATCTAATTTAAGAATTAGATTATTTATTTGACAATGGAAAATCTACCTAATCTATCTATCTTTATGATATAGGGCAAAGCATCGACCTTTAGGATTGTTTTATTTCTCGATAACACTCCTAAAAATAACTAATTTGCCATTGTGATTTATAAAGATTATGAATTCATTCTCATTAAGTTAGTATTATTTACTTATATTTATTTTGATTGATGAGAAATGGGATAAAACATGCTGCAGAGCTGCGCCTTTTCTATATACCACATTCCTTACAATCATATAATCATATAAAGGTTCCAGACACCAATCCATGCAAGGCACAAAGTTTTGTTAAAAACATGTCTAATATTTGACTTTTATCACCAGATAAAGTCGTAAGTCGGCTTTGTCAGGAAACAAAATCATGCTACTTTGAATAGATCAGTTAAACACCTGAATAAACTCCTTAGGTTTCTATTTCAAAAATATTCTAACAATGTTATATAATATATATATTTGAATTAAACCCTTTTTACAGCTCATTCTTGTATCCAACAGTTCAATATATTTTCAACTTTCAATATTCATTTTAATGACTGGACTCATAACACTGTAAAAGAAGGGCTGAGGTCCTTCGGAGTGAGCAGGCCCCTGCTTAAAACCTTCTGACTCTGTAGCGGCATCAGCCCTCCTCTACACTGGTGTCTGCTGGACCCCTAGCAGCACAGAGCGGGACAGAAAGACACTGAATGAACTGGTGAGAAAGGCCGTTCCTGTCCTAGGTTGAACTCTGGACTCAGTGGCTGAGAGGAGGGTGCTGTCCAAGCTTCCGTCCATCATGGACGACACCTTCCACCCCCTGCACCAGACTGGAGAGGAGCTGAGCAGCTCCTTTAGTCAAAGACTTTTACACGCTACTGCAGGTCATTCATGACTCTACGATGCAACACTACAGATAATGAGCTGGATTGTCCGTCTTATTGGGAAACAAATAGTGAGAAAAGAAGTGCATTTTTTCCTTTTTAATTTTAGGTTTTAATAAAAAAAAAAGTGAAAGAATGAATGATACATGGATTCATACGGTTCGCTAGCTTGGAACTGTATGAACGAGAACCCGCCGATACTGGCCTGGAGGAGTTCAACTGGTATCTGCTTTAAGGGAGGAAGATAATCAAGGAATGGTAACCATTCAAGCTGTTTCCTTTGTTTTACTTTATTAGCTTTAACCTAAAATTATATTGATTTAATCCCTGTTTTATCTAAAATCTAAAACCTATCCTAGTTTTATCAAAGTTCAGCCCAGTTTTATCAAAGTTAAACCTGATTTTATTCCGAATTTTATCTGATTTTAACCTTGCTTTGATCTTAAATCTATAAAAAAAAAACATTTTTTCTACTTCTATCCTCAAATTGTTTCAATTTTCTCACACCTCTACAACGGTAATACCTTGTGGGATGTATAATTTGCAATTACTATTTGATACCCTGTGCAATAACTATATATATACCGTAATTTTTGGACTATAAGCCGTGACTTTTTCCCCATTTTTTGACCTTGCGGCTTATATAACAATGCGGCTTATCTATGGACTTTTACAACTAACGGCCACTAGCGTAATACCTAAATCTATGGATTTTACCATTCACCATGTTGACGTCACATTTGCTTTAACACACAAGTACGGTTGCAGCGTGCACGGGAATGCGGAGGTCCTCCGGAAGCAGACTTCTACCGCGAGTGGTACGAGACAGAACGAAAGCGAGAAAGACGGACATTAAACAAAAAAAAACCTGCGGCTAATAGTCCAGTGCAGCTTGTATATGTATAAATCATGCAATTTAGCTTCTGCGGCTTATATTCAGGTGCGGCTAATAGTTTGAAAATTACGGTATAAATATCCATCTATATAAATACCCATGTAAACACCCTGTGCAATAACCTTGTATAATAATCCTGCTATAAAAATATTAAAAAAGCTGTCATATGTGGACGCACTATATATACTGTATATACCTAATGCACCTTTTTCTTTCTTTGGCATCTTCTTCTTCTTTGACCATTTGAGCTGATGTAACCAGTACATTTCTCCACTGTGAGATCAATAAATCAATCAATCATGCACAATTGTACTATGTTATGTATAGTCCTCTCTGTCCTAGCATGTTTGTCTACTTAACGATTCACACTTCAGTTCTGCGATCATTATGTTTATATCCTTGGTCCAATAAAAGACACAAGATTCTTTTTTCTGTATCGCCATTACAAACTGTTTTCCTGCTTGTATATCACATTGGGGACATCCTCCAGACCCGCCCTCATCAGCAGACAGATCATCTGATCATGAGCTAATTCCAACATCCCACTTCTGCAGGAATGTAGAAAATCCTTATTTAACCTTTAGTAAAACCAAAACAAGATGTTTTATGAAAGTCAAAGAATAAATATACAGTATTCTTGATGGTTTTGTTAATGCAAAACACAGGTTGACTGGAACTTCAAGGACAGTATTGATAGACTCACTGGATCTTAATGCAATGAAGCATTTAATCATAGACAGACAGATAACACAGAACAAGATGTAAAAAGTTCTTCAGCAGTATAAAACATTTTGTAAACAGTACAAAAACCTGTATGTTGGAAGCTGCTGCATGAAAAACCCTGAGGCTTCTTCTGTTCTCAGTCACATGAGAGCAGCTGCTTACATAAAAACCCTCAATTTAATGACAAGCAATAAAATAAGGAAGAAGAATCTTTAAAATCTGTCTTAAATTTAGACCATTAGGTTTGATTCCAGGGAATCAGTTAGAGGGAAGGAGCTTCTAAACATCCAAGTCTTCTGGTCGCCGTCTAAATCAGCCGACCCAGATTCTCTGATTCCGACTCATTTCCTGAAAAACTGGCAGCAGACGATCAATTACAGCCACTGACCCACATTAATGAAACAACATCCAGACGCTGACTGTCAGGATCAACCATGAGGAAGTCCACTGGAACCAGTGGAACCAGTCCGTTGGATCACTGGAAGGTCTGGAAGCAAAATGTTCTATACATACTGGTGATAATGACTGAGCACAAATACATTTGGTTCCCAGCATCTGTTGCCATGGTGACCGCATCCTGCTAAGATGAGAAGATGCAGACTGCCGGAGCTGAACCGATCAGGTCTTCTTTTGAGGCGGTCAGAGGGGAGAGGGGGCCCGCAGGGAGCCGGCGAGGGCCACATCACTAAAAGCGTCGGTGTAGGACGCTTTGAGAAACTGGACGTAGTTCTGGAGGCTTCGGTTGGTGCTGTCGGACTGCTCCAGGCGGTCCTTCAGATCCTGCAGCCGGCTCTGGTACCGCCTCTCCACCTGAGAACCAATAGCAGGTTAGAGACGTAACGGAGGAGGAGGCAGGAAGCAAAAAGAGCGCCGCTGATGTCACCTCCTCTTTGTGGCGTCTCAGCTGGTCGATCTCTGAGGCGGTCCGGCTCAGCTGGGTCTCCAGCTCCAGGATCTTGGATTTGGTGGAGCGTTCTTTGGTCATGGCCCGTTCTCTGGTCTCTGAGATCTGGAAACATGACACATTCTTTTACACTCACTGGAGGAGAGACGCTCAGGTTTAGAAAACAATCCGCTGGACTTTGTTTCCAAGTTTGAAGACGTTTTGCTTCCCTTCCAGGAAACTTTTTCCATTCAAAATGTCAGAAATAGCGTTGAGTTCGAGGCTTTATGCTACTCAACGCTGATTCTGACATTTTGAATTGCAAAACCTTCCTGGATTTAAAGCGAAACGTCTTCAAAATTGGAAACAAAATCAAGTGGATTGTTTATTTTTAAACTTTTTTGGATTGACTATGACCTGAATGACTGAGACTCTTCACCAGCATAAGCTCAGGTTTAGGTTTAGTGATCATGTGAGATCTAGAGCACCGAGCTCCAGGGTTGAAAGGTCAAACTAATAAAAGCTCCTCATCTTTTAAGGTCGTAGCCACAACTTTTTATAAAAAAGAATGAACAAAACTTCTAGATTCGCAGAATAAAAGTATAAATTTTACTAAAATAGAAATATAAATATTGTTTTATAAATGTTTACAATTCCAAAAATAAAAAAAAAGTAACATGAGGGTTAACATCGGTCAGGATTTTCGGTGTTGGTGGCAATTTAAGGAAGCGGAGGGGCTCCAAAGAGGCTTTTTATTCTGAAAAGCTAAATTAAATGTTATCTACTGCATACGAATCCATAATCCGTGTATCATTCGTTCTTTTCTTTTCAAATTAAAACCAAAAATAAAAAATGCAAAAATTCACTCGTTTTCTCACTATTTGCTTCCAAAACAGAAAGGAAAAACACATAATGAGCGTGATTGTCCGTTTTATTGGGAAACAAATAGTGAGAAAAGAAGTGTATTTTTTCCTTTTTAATTTTAGGTTTTAATAAAAAAAAAAAAAATGAAAGAATGAATGATACATGGATTCATACGGTTCACTAGCTTGGAACTGTATGAACGAGAACCCGCCGATACTGGCCTGGAGGAGTTCAACTGGTTTCTCCTTTAAGAGAGGAAGATAATCGATAACCTGACTCCGCCAGATGGATTTGCTCCGCATATCCATCTGGAAACCTTCCGTTGAAGTAATTTTGGGAAGGAGCGAAAATACTGGTTAGCTGATTGGCCTATGTTGGTGATAGACAGGCCAAATAAATCAATCAGATCAACGAAGCATATGACATACTAACAGAGCGACGACGAAGAGGAGCCGATTGATAGATCAAACTCTTGCAGAAACCAGTCAGGAGAAGAGCAAAAACATCTTTTCCTCTGAGAAAAGCCTCCAGAGCAGTGTTTTGCTCTTCTTTCAGTGAAGAAATACTCTGTAATTCCGATAAAACTTGCTCGATAGCCACGCTAACGCTAGTTTCATCGGCTGAAGCCGCCATGTTCTTTAGACTGAACTGTCGCGCTTCTCGTTGCATCACACCTCAACCCGCCTCAAAACCAACGCTGATTGGACGTTCGTTTGGTGAACGGCTCCAAATTTTCTTTAACGGAGAGTCTCCAGACTGATTAGCGAAACCTTGAAAGCTCGCGAGATCAGGATGGTCTCACGAGGCTAGATAATCGAGGAATGGAAAACATTCAAGCTGTTTCCTCTGTTTTACTTTATTAGTTTTAACCTACAATTATAGTGATTTAATCCCTGCTTTATCTAAAATCTAAAACCTATCCTAGTTTTATCAAAGTTCAGCCCAGTTTTATCAAAGTTAAACCTGATTTTATTCAGAATTATATCTGATTTTAACCTTGTTTTGATCTTAAATCGATAAAAAAAAAAAACATTTTTTCTACTTCTATCCTCAAATTGTTCCAGTTTTCTCAAACCTCTATCAGAATGTTATTGTGGTTTCATCTAGGACTGCAACTAACGAATATTTTGCAACCTTAATCTGTTGATTAATTTTTTTTAATTAATAATCGAATAGCCAATGGTTCCTTAAAGAAGATTTTTTTATGAAATTAAACCAGGTGAAACTAAATCTTTTCCACTTGAGGAGTTCTGGATAGAGAATATTGACAGACATAAAAGTTTTTATTAACTTAACTGCAAAATGTTTACATATTTTTTTACAATCTTGGTATAGTTACTGCTCTAAGTGGATCGCTCTGTCAGCTAAAAGGCATATTTTAGTCTCTATACTCCACATAATGATTAATCAATTACTAAATTAGATTATTTCAATAATCGATTAATCTGATTAACTGTTTCAGCCGTGGTTTCATTCAAATTTTAATTTTACTTTCTAATCTACATATTTCCTGAGTTTGTCCTTTTTTGTAGTTTTAAGTTAAATCTATTAAGATTAAATCCTTTAGTTGCTGTTTTCATATCAAATTCTTCCAGGTTTTATTCCTGTTTATGACATTTTAACATGAATTTGTTCCTGAGGTTTTATCACATTAAATTTATTTTAAACTTTAGCCAAATTCTGCACTGGAAAAACGATCAAGAAATAAGTAAGAATTTCTTAAATGAAGTGCATTTAACCTTAATTTGAGCAGGTAAATGAGATAGTTTGCCAATGGAATTGGTATTTTTACTCTTAAAATAAGATAATTAGATAAAATGCACTTGAAATAACACAATGCAATTGTGTTTTCTTATTTTAAGTGTAAATTGTCTTGTTCCTTTGGCAAAATGTCTCTTTTGCCTCCTTAATCCAAGAAAAAATGCACTTATTTTAAGAAAAAAAACTTCTATATTTCAATTTTTTTCCAGTCTGACCGTTTTTCCTTCTCTTTTTTTCCGGTTCTATGTTGACTGATTACAGATTTTTATTCCTGATTTATTTTCCCAGGTCGTTTTGTGGTTTCATCCTCCTTTTTCGGCTCAGAGACGGCGGGCCGTGTGTCACCTGCTGGCGGGCGTCGTCCAGAGCCGCCTCCAGCTTCCGGCTCAGCAGGGAACATTCTCTCGTCTTCTCTTCCAGGGAGAGCTGATTGCTGCGGATGGTCTTGTCCCGTTTGGAGATGACGGTTAGAAGGTCAGAGTTCTGGCTGGAAACTTCCTCCAGCTTCCTGATGGATGACAGGAGAGGGAACAGGACTTGGAGCTAAGGGTCGGATCAGGATTCGGTTCAGGCTGAAGGCTGCTGAATCTTTCTAGCAGCTTTTTCACACAAAAAGAGCAAAGTTCTCAAACATGTGAGTTTAGTGTTTGTTCTGAATCAGGAAGTCACTGACCGGTCCAGAGACTCTGCTCTGAGCTGAAGCTGTTGGTTCTCCTCCATCAGAACTTTGTTCTTCTGCCTCAGGAGATCCATCTGGTGTCCCTGGGTCTCCATCTGTGAAAATGCAGAATCTCAGTGAGAGAAAGGAGTGAACATCTCTGTGGGTCTCCAAGTTCTCAGCCATTGATTCCAAACTAAGGTTGGGACTAAAAGATTCTAGGAAGCTTCGGGAGATCTAAAAAGGACTGAAACAGTGACTGAGGTTCTGGAATGTTCTGGTGAAGGATCCTGGAATATCAGCAGTGTGTCTGGAAGTGATAAAACATTTGATCTGAGCAGAGATGATGTCCATCGTGTGCTGCAGCTGTTCATGTAGAGATGTTCTACTGAGTTTGAAGGAGAAACCTGCTGTGACCTTCAGACGGAGCTCCGTCAGGTTGGTGCTGAGCTCCACGTTCCGTCTCTCCAGGAGACGTTCCTGATCCTGAGCGTCCTGCAGCTGCAGCTGGCAGCGCCGCAAAGACTCCGGAAGAACCTCCAGGTCCGAAAGCCGACCCAGGAGCTCCCTGCGCACCTCCTTGATCTCCTTCTCCAGCTCCTCCTGCACCGACTGGGCCTCCCGCTCTGCTTGAGCCACCTGGGAAGAGCACTGCTCGGCTTCGGCCCGGGTTTTCCCGACCTGCAGAGTTTGTTGGACAGGAAATAAGCCCTGAGCGACGCTGGGTCTGGTCTCAGCGGAACTTCTACAGAACCTCCAGTACCTGGATCTTATAGCTTTCCAGCAGAGCCTCATACTGCCTGATTGTGGCTCTGACCTGCTGAAGCTCTGACTGAGACAAGCTCAGCTTTTCCTCCGCTGCAGATGCCGAGGCCTGCGCAAAGACCCAACGTTTTATGCCTTCAGAGATCGGGAGGAGATCCAGAAGCGGAGCTCAGATCATATCCACCCTACCTTTAGGTTCTGGTTCTCCAGTTTAGCAGCAGCGTTCTCTGCAGTCACTCCATGCAGGCGATCCAGCAACGCCTCCCTCTCCGATCGACCCCTTTCCTGCACGCTCTGCAGCTGCTCGCTCAGCTCCGATATCCGGCTGATAGAACACAAAAGAAAACATTCCAGCTCTTTGTTAAAGTCGGAAAATTCGGATCACGAGAGGAGGAACGAAGGGAAACAACAACATGAAGCCTAAATTATGGAGGATTTTAATCCTTCCTGGAATAAGATAAATCTACATGTTTTTCTCTTGTTGCTCAGATTTTCAGCCTCTCTCTTTGTTCTCCTTTGGAACCAAACATCTGAACACGGTTTGGATCCAGTTACCTGTTCAGCAGACTCAGCTCCATCTCCAGCTGACCTTTCTCCTTGGCTTCCTCTGCGTGTCGGTGCTGCCAGACCTCAGCTGCTGCCAGAGCTTCATCCACCTGCTTCTCCTGCTGGACACAGCGTCAGAGTTAACCAGGGTGGGTTTACTAACAGGTGGGGGGACATCAGGAGGAGCATCAGTCCCACCATCTGCAGCAGCTGCACGCTCAGCTGTCCTGCAGCGTCCTCACTGCGCGCCGCTCGATGTTTCTGAGCTTTGGTGGCTCGTTTCAGAGCTTCCCGATCCTCCAGCGCCTCCTGCTTCAGTCGGTTCAGCTGCTCCGTCACATGATCCATCTCTGCCCTCTGCTGATTGGCTGCCCGCTCCAGGTTCTGGAGGAGCAAAGCTCAGTTCATGGGTCGCTGTAGAAGTAAACCTCTACGGGTCAAAGAACTCCAGCTGACCTTTATCTGAACGCTGAGTCGGTTGTTTTCTGCTTCTTTGCTGCGTAACTGTCCCTGGAGATGAGCTCTGGTCGACTCCAGAGTCCTGGACAAATCTGCTGAGCTCTTAGCATTTACCTGCATTTAAAATAAAAAAACAGAAGACAATATAATAACCAGGCCTCATCTGGGTTTGGATGCGTTTTAGTCCTGATACCTTCTCTGAGTCCAGCAGGTTGGAGAGCTGATGAAGCTCCCTGTCTTTCTCCTGAAGCTTCTCAAGAAGGTTCTGGTAAAAAAAAAAAAACGGACAGGGAGGTCACAGATCAGCACCTCACAGTGAAAGGAAACACGTTCAACAGCAGAAGGTCCCTGAGTAGCTTAAATATGAGAGATCAATTTGTCTGAAAATATTGAGAAATTGGCGTGAAGATAGAAAGGAAAGCCTTTATACACACTATGGTCCTGATATTTAAAGACACGCTAAATTACAAATGCTAACTTTTTTAGGACATGCAATAAGGAGCTTTTTCTATTTTTCTTATTACGAGAATAAGTTGAAAAAAAAATGCTTCTTGTAAGAGTTGTCATAAAATATGTCATTCACGTAATTTTATGACTTTATTCTCATAATTTTACGACTTTATTCTCATAATATTACGACTTTATTCTCATATTTTTACGACTTTATTCTCATATTTTCACGACTCTATTCTCATATTTTCACGACTTTATTCTCATAATTATACAACTTTATTCTCATAATATTACGACTTTATTCTCATAATATTACGACTTTATTCTCATATTTTTATGACTTTATTCTCGTAATATTACGACTTTATGCTCATATTTTTACGACTTTATTCTCGTAATATTACAACTGTGTTCTCATAATTTTAGGACTTTATTCTCGTAATATTACGAGTTTATTCTCATATTTTTACGACTTTATTCTCGTAATATTACGACTTTATTCTTGTTATGTTACGACTTTATTCTCGGAATGTTACAACTTTGTTCTCCTAATTTTACGACTTTATTTTTGTAATATTACAACTTTATTCTCGTGATTTTACGACTTTATTCTCGTAACTTTACGACTTTATTCTCGTAATCTTATGACTTTATTCTCGTAACTTAACGACTTTATTCTCATAGCATTACGACTTTATTCTCATAATTTTATGACTTCATTCTCGTAACTTTACGACTTTATTCTCGTAACTTTACGAACTTATTCTCTTAACATTACGACTTTATTTTCGTAATCTTATGACTTTATTCTCGTAACATTATGACTTTATTCTCGTAATCTTATGACTTTATTCTCGTAACTTAACGACTTTATTCTCATAGCATTACGACTTTATTCTCATAATTTTATGACTTAATTTTCGTAACTTTACGACTTTATTCTCGTAACTTTACCAACTTATTCTCGTAACATTACGACTTTATTCTCGTAACTTAATGACTTTATTCTCATAGCATTACGACTTTATTCTCGTAACTTAATGACTTTATTCTCATAGCATTACGACTTTATTCTCGTAACTTTACAACTTTATTCTCGTAACTTTACGACTTTATTCTCGTAACTTTACGACTTTATTCTCGTAACTTTACGACTTTATTCTCGTAACTTTACGAACTTATTCTCGTAACATTACGACTTTATTCTCGTAATCTTATGACTTTATTCTCGTAACTTAATGACTTTATTCTCGTAATTTTACGACTTTATTCTCGTAATTTTACGACTTTATTCTCGTAATTTTACGACTTTATTCTCGTAATTATACGACTTTATTCTCATAATTTTGACTCATCATTTTTTTTGTGTGTTTGTGTTCATCTCATTTTTGAGTTAGCAGGACCTTTCGAATCTGCTCTGAAATCACAGATTAACACGCCGTTTTCTACGTCCCATCATCATAAGTTTCTGACAGAACTTCAGCGAAGCTGCAGATGAGGATGAAGGAAAACACACTTGTGGTCCAGATCTTGACCGTTAGAACTCACAGCTTTTTCTGCCTCTGTGTCAGCGAGCCTCTTCAGTAGAACCTCCTTCTGCTCTGACAGTCCGATGGACTCCATCTGCTCAGAGCCAAACCACAAACAACGAGAACAGTTCATGCCCAGGTTCTGATTCTGGGTGAGGAGTTCAGTACATCGAACTGTGCATGACAAATATACACCCTGCAAAGTTTTTTCCACATTTTTTCAAGTTTCCAACCAAAATATCTCAGCTTAGGTGGCGAACACGACTTTTCATTTCCACCAAAGAAGACGGGTGGTCCATCCTCCTTCAGAAGAAGGACTGAGTTGAACTCTGCGAGATGTTCAAAGCCTGGAAGGTTGTTTTAGAACAAAAACATCCCTGATCTGCTGGGTTCCCTGATCAGCACGCTGATGGTTGTTCTCTATTGTTCTCTGAAAAACTTGCAGAGGTTTTTGGTCATAAACTTTGTAAACTGTTGTTTTTTTTCCCTTCTCCCTGCACTAGTTTCTGTTCTGTGTTTGTCTGCAGCAGATATCCAAATAAAAATGGATAAAATTTTGTGGAACTGGACAAATTGTGAAAAAGCTTTTTTATTCCCGGTTTCTCCGGTGTTACCTGGGACTCCCTCTGCTCTCTGAGGAGCTGCCTCAGAGTTCGGTTCGTGGCCTCAAACGTCTCCAGTTTCTTCAGCAGCAGGTCCTTCTGATGGGCCAAACCCGAAGACGACAACTTCTGCAGCGGGAAAGAAACGGTTCAGAGGAAACGCAGCGGGTTCATGTCTTCGCTCAGGTATGGAGCAGAAACTCACATTTCCACCCGAGCTGAAGAGCTGAGAGACGGACTGTTTCAGAGCAGAAACCTGCTGAGCAGCTGCAGATGCAGCAGCTTCAGCATCCATCAGCTTCCGGAGCAGAACATCCGGATCCTGAGGAGAACCGTCCACTCTGGAAACACCAGAACCAAGCAGATAGAATTCAAACACCCTTCTCTGCAATTGCAGAAGGAGAAATAAATAATCTTTGATAATTGAGGCATCATTAGTGGACTTCATCAGCATCTGGATCAGAATCAAGTCACAAACATGTTCCTCAGGTAAACTAGCAGCAGGAGATAACCCAGTAGTCTGGAGGAAATTATGTGTGACCAACATATCTGCCTCTGAGGTCCAAAATCCTAACAGAACCAGAACAGAATCTCTTATCGGACCGCCAACGCATCATCCTGTCAGAACAGGAGAGGAGACAGGAAACGCTGCTCGCTTCAGGTCTCCAAACAGGAAAAATGAGGAGGATTGAATCCAGCAGTCTGAACCTGAAAGAAGGTTCTGGAGAATCTGAGATTGGTTCTGGGAAGAAACTGGTGCAGCTCATCGTCAGTTCTGACTGAGATTCATACCAGCAGGATGCAGAGACCCGTCATCAGAACCTAACCTGAACTTTAACACCTGGAGAAAAAAGACATCTTTTAGGATTCGGGATTTTCCCGTTTCTGCCATTTGACTGAGTATCAGGGCCAAGCTAGAGCTTTTTCTATTATTTGTTATTACGACAATAAAGTCGTAATAAAATTAATAACAATAATACTTTATTCTCGTAATAATATCACGAGAATAAAGTTGAAAAAAATGCTTCTTGTAAGAGTTGTCATAAAATACAACTTTATTCTCGTAAATTTATTACTTTATTCTAATAATGTTACGACTTTATTCTCCTAATTTTATGACTTTATTCTTGGAAAGTTCCAACTTTATTTTCATGTTACTTTATTCTCGTAGTTTTATGACATTATTCGCGTAATGTTACAACTTTATTCTCGTAATTTTATGACTATTCTTTGGTTACTTTATTCTCTTAATTTCATGACAATATTCGCGTAATGTTACGACTTTATTCTCGTAATTTTATGACTTTATTCTCGTAATTTTACGACTGTATTCTCCTAATTTTATGACTTTATTCTTGTAAAGTTCCAACTTTATTTTCATGTTACTTTATTCTTGTAGTAGTTTTATGACATTATTCGCGTAATGTTACGACTTTATTCTCCTAATTTTATGACTTTATTCTTGTAATTTTATGACTATTCTTTGGTTACTTTATTCTCTTAATTTTATGACTTTATTCTCTTAATTTTATGACTTTATTCTCGTAATTTTATGACTTTATTCTTGTAAAGTTCCACCTTTATTCTCGTAGTTTTATGACATTATTCTCGTGATGTTATGACTTTATTCTCATACTTTTTTGACGATTCTTGTTGTAACTTTATAGTCATAACATTACGACTTTATACTCGAAATAAAAAAAATCTCTAGCCTGGCCTTAATACTCCATCGTACGGCCACTAGAGGGTGATGATTTGAGAGCTCAGGAGACGACAGCCGAACTATGAACCCAAGTAAAGAACTTCTGCAATTTTTCTGATTCAAACATGGATGTATGGAGGACCAAAGTCCAGAACCAGTACCTGGACCAAAAAATAAATAAATAAAAATGTAATATTACAACTTTATTATCATAGTTTTACGACTTTATTCTCATAATTTTATGACTTTATTCTCATAATTTTATGACTTTATTCCTGTAAAGTTACGACTTTATTCTCATTATGTTAGTTTATTCACTTAGTTTTAGGACTTTATTCTCGTACTTTTACGACTTTAATTTTATGAATTTATTCTCGTAATTATACGACTTTATTCTTGAAAAGTTCCGACTTTATTCTCATAATGTTACTTTATTCTCGTAGTTTTATGACATTATTCCCTTAATGTTACGACTTTATTCTCGTAATTTTATGACTATTCTTTTTGTGGCTTTATTCTGTTAATCTTACGACTTTATTCCGTACTTTTATCACTTTATTCTTGTAAAGTTCTGACTTTATTCTTGTAGTTTTATGACTTTATTCTCATAGTTTTTTGACGATTCTTGTTGCAACTTTATTCTAATAATATAATGACTTTATACTCCAAATAAATAAATAAAAATCTCTAGCCTGGCCCTAATACTCCATCGTACGGCCACTAGAGGGTGATAATTTGAGAGCTCAGGAGACGACAGCCGAACTATGAACCCAAGTATAGAAGTTCTGCAATTTTTCTGATTCAAACATGAATGTATGGAGGACCAAAGTCCAGAACCAGTACCTGGACCAAAAAAAAACAAACTAAAAATGTATAAGTGGACCAAAAAAAAAACCTAAATATAAAAGTTTTCTCAGTTTACAAAAGGAAAAATATGACTGGGTGTTCGGAAAAAAAAAAGATCTTCCAACCAGAAGCTGATTGCTTGTGTAGCAGAGGCAAAGTTTGGGGGAAAAAAACGCTGATCATAAGAAATTTTGAACTAAAATAATAAATAACTGAAAAACAAGCAATGCAACAAACTTCAACTACAGTTAAAGGAAAACTTTTACATTTTCACAGCTGTTATTAATTTTTGTTTCATAAATTAAAACAGTACAAAACACTAAGTTTATGTAATAAACCAAAACATTAACAAATGCATTAAATAAATAAAACTACATAGAACTGAAATAAAATATTAGTGAAGAAACAAAGAGATTTAATTCATAAATCCTAGTTTTTGTTTCTTAATTTAAAACATTTTGACCTAACGATTGACAAAAAGAAAAAGAAAGACATTTTCTGACACCTTGCTGCAGCTTTGAGGAGTACCTGTTGGGGTCGCTCTCCTCCAGCATCTTCTCCATGGACCGACGAAGACGGCTGTTTTCTCTCTCCGTCTCCTGCAGCTCCTTGGTCACCTCGGCCAGCTCCTCCTCCTGCTCAGCGATCACGCGTTTGGAGACGTTCAGCTGCTCCGATTGACACTGCAGCATCTGCTCCTTCTTACGCAGCTCCACCTGAAGCATGAGGAACCATCAGGAAACCAGAGCAGAGGGAGGTTTCTGATCCAGAGAACGTCCTGACACCAGCTCCACGTTTCAAACTGTTGATGGTCCTGCTTTCAGTGGCAGAAATAAGTCCTGATCTATTCTTGTGTTTCCTATTTCTATTTTTATCTTTAGACAAAATTCCAGCAAACCAGAACTAATGCACTAATGCAGCAGAAGCAAAAAAGCTTCTTGATGTAGGGCGTCCAGCAGCAAAAGTTCAATTTTTCCAACTCCAGCAGCAGCTGCTGCTATCACAGAGCATCTTGCTCATAAGATGCTCAGAAGCTTCAGCTGCTCAAAACGAGCTGCAGGACCTTTTGTTGCTCCTTGACTCGACATTTAAACCACTGACTTCCCATTCAAACTAGCTGCTTCTGCAAATTGAAACCCGGTTCGTCTTTAATGCCGTCTGTCTTTAATTTAATGAGGAAAGTCCATTTGAAACGTTCCTGTTATCTTTTATCAGGATGGAATCTGTCCTTTTCACTGGATTTACTGTTTTATCTCATCCTGTTCTGACCCTTTACTAGTATTTTTGGATAAACATGCATATATTCATACTGGAGATAGAGCGATACAATGTTAGTATTTTTTCTTGTGTGGGCCGATAGGTACATGTGTTCAACCATTAGCTCAGTTTATCTTGAGCTATCTCTATAGTTATGCTGCTATAGGCTTAGACTGCTGGAGGACATAGGGACCCATTTTTCATCTTTCTGCTTCATTCTATCTCTATTCTTCATCTCTGCAGAATCTGTTAGTTCAATCTCTAACGTTCTGCTCTCTCTGCTTTTTCTCATAGTAGCTTCATCTGGTCTGTTCCTGTTTGGCTGTGACTCCATCCTGGAGAGAAATATCAGCTGTGCTGCTGCCATCAACACCTTTGTTTCTAGATGTTGGAGATCGGCCTGTTTTTCAGTGTAGTTCTGTTTCTCTGACTGTGACTAACTGGATGTGCTCTCTTTATCCTCTGACATGGGAGCTGGCTCGGAGCTCGTCTGCCTGGCTGTGTGTTTCCTGGATGGGGCCGCCTTTTACAGCTGCTTTTTCTATGTCTGCTTCTGTCTCCTTGAACCCCAGTCAGCCTCAGCAGATGGCCGCTCACACTGAGCCTGGTTCTGCTGGAGGTTTCTTCCTGTTCAAAGGGAGTTTTTCCTCTCCACTGTCGCTGCAAGCATGCTTAGTGTGAGGGATTGCCTTCGATTCAATAAATCGATGCAATAAACTAGTTTTCCTGAGATTTGACTCAATCTGCCAGGATGATCTGGTTGAACTGTAAAGTGCCTTGAGATGACGTGTTGTGAAGTGGCGCGATATAAATAAACTGAACTGAATTGAATTCATTTGTGCATTAAGCAGCCATGTTTTTGTGATCCTGTAAGGTGAATTGCTGCTGCACCCACCTGCCCTCCATTCTTAATGTTTTCTTTGATTTGGACAATCTCTATTCGCTTGTTAAGAGGAGTTTATGACTTATTTAAAAAAAAAAATTCAGGCTAAAAGCAAAAAAACAGCAGTGGTATCAGAAAACCAGATGAGTAGGTTGTGGATTGGTGCATCTGTAGAACCTACCTCCGTCCTAAGAGAGCAAACTTCACTCATTAAGCTCTCGATCTTCCTCTCATAATGGCTGATCCGGCCCTGCAGAACTTCCTCTTCCTCTGACGTGAGATCCGACACACGCAGCACAGACTGGGAGCGCTCAGGTTCTGGTTCTGGGGGCGGTGGTGTGATCTCCAGGCTTTGAGTCGGTCCCTTAAATAAAACAGAGTCTCAGGGATGAGATTAACCAGGGGATGCGATCTAAGGAAGGAGGAGTGTCCCAGAAGATTCCTAACCTCCCACTTGTAGGAAGCCTTTCCTGGAGGGATCCAAGGCACTCGAGTTTGGACCTTCGCTGTCGGACGAAGCCTCGAATTTTCCACATTCACCTTCCCCTTGAAAAACACGAATGAAACAGAACCTTCTGTATCTGAGAAGATCGGATTTTTATGAGGGAAATCAGAGCCGAAGAGGAGCCAGCTGGTTCTACTAACATCAATCTAGCAGCAGAAGAAGACGCTGCATCATGGAAAAGGTGAGAAACAGAAAGGAGGGGAGCAGAGGGAGAGCTCGGCCTCTCACCGACCTGAGGCGTCCTGCCAGGAGCCGTCCTCTGGCTCTTCACGTGCACGTGGACCGGCGTGGCATCACTGACGTGCACGTGCACTGGGGGGGAACCGGACCGGTTCTTCATGGCTTTACTCTGAGGAAGCAAGGCAGCCATAAGTGACTGTGATGATGTCGCTATCCCAAAACACAATGGGAACCTACATTTATATTTAATGTTTAGTGTTTAATAGAAGTAACAAGAATAAAGCCTCTGTTTAAGCAATTAGGTTTATGTTCAGCCTGACTTTGATGAGTATTTCTCAAGCAGGGATGTCTGAACTTTTTCACTCTATGGCTTCTGGCAGGGGATCCCCTTCCTGACGTGGAAGAGGGACAAGAATCATCTCCCCCCTCCTTGGACATCTTATGCAAAACATTACCTATTGTCACTCATGTGCAATATTCTTCTCTCTCACTGGGAAATAACTCATGCCAACTAATGTGTATTTTTTTTTTTTACTTATTTATAAGGTCAGTACATTTCTGCAGTGCAATGCAATAACCCAAGTCAACTACTGTGTACTCTTCCCTTAGCTCTCTGCTGTGCAGATATTTTTATATCTTAGGGAAACATATTCCATGACCTTTTTTCTTTTTTTAGTACTGTATTCACTCTGTTTGTATTGTCTGTCATATTTTTATCTTTAATGGCATCTTGCTTTAACTCTTCGTACCCTGTATATAAGCTACTGGAACAAGAATTTCCCTGAAGGAGTAATCCCAAGGGAGAAATAAAATTAGTCTAAGTATAATTCTATGATGTTTTGCTCCAGTATTTTGCAAGCAAAGAACTTCTTTTGTAAATGGAAAGTGTAAAAAAAACACGTTTTTCTTAGAATTTCTTGGTTCAAAATCTTTATATCTGATTTTTTTTTTTTTGTAATTTTTTTTTGTTATTTCATCCTTTATCATTTCAGATTTAATCTTTTCACCTTTAAATTTCTTTTTTTCAAATTTCTCCTTTTCAGACTGAGATTTTTCTTCAAAAATAGGGGAATTGTGAGCGGTCTAGTCAAAGTCTGGACTTCATTTGCAACGAAGTGCAAGAGAATCCCTAAAACCGGCTCATCTTTGTAAACTTGCAGATCAATTAGAACAAGATATATCATATCTGAGCAAAAGATAAAAACAAATATCTTTCTATTTTCACCTTTGTAAAGCTCTCCTATTAAAACTGTATCTTTAGGGTAATATTCATTAATTTTTTATTTATTATTATTTAATTTATTTATTTTATATTTATAGAGTATAAAGAAGAGCAATATTTAGATGTAAACCTATTCTATGAGCACCAATTGATCAACATATTCAATAATTTTTTTTTTTTTTTTTTACAAATAGTTGAAACCTTAAATGTAAAAGTTGTTGCACCTCAGTAGTAATATATCCCTTCCCTTTAATCTAAGCACCATTGTGCAGCTGATTAAATTATTTTAGGTAGAAATACACTTATCTGTAATAATTTGTTTAAATGGAAATAAAATCTAAAT